CTGCCCAATGAAGCATGGTGGTGGTAGTAGCATCATACTGTGGGGGTGTTTTTCAGCAGCAGGGATTGGGAGACTGGTCAGGGTTGAGGGAAAACTGAATGTAGCAAAGTACAGGGATATCCTCAATGAAAACCTGTTCCACAGCGCTAAGGACTTCAGACTGGGCTGAAGGTTCACTTTCCAACATGACAATGACCCTAAGCACACAGCCAAGACATATTAAGTGATTTTCCCAAAAAAAAATTGCATCTTTACTAATACTTTGAATATTTTATCCTGGCAAAGTAGTTGAGAGTGGCAAGCCACATGGATCCTTGGGCAGTTTAAGAAGCAAATTTGAAATAAGTAAACAGTTGATCAGTTGATACTCCCTTGGGTATCTAAGGGAAACTGCTTGGTGCAGGATGGGAAACACAGCAATAGGGGAAGCAGGAACTGCCTAACAGGAGTCTGACTATTAGTGTTGTCCGATTCTGACTCTTGGTTACCAAAACTAGATGTAGTATTCCAGACCACACCTGGAATACCATATCCAGTTTTCCTCACCACATTACAAAAAATATGTTGAATCTTTGGAAAAAAAGCAAAGAATAGCAACTAAGATCATTAAAGGCCTGGTGACTAAAACATATGAAGAACTGTTGCAGGATTTGGATATAGCTAGTCTAGAGAAAAGAAGGACTAGGAAGGACATGATAACAGTATTCCAGTATTTGAGGGGTTGCCACAAAGAAGATGTGGGTTGACTTATTTTCCAAAGCACCCAAAGGCCAGACAAGAAACAAGGGATGGAAACTAATCAAAAAGAGAAGCAACCTGGAATTAAGAAGAACAGTAAGAATAATTAAGCAAACGAACAGCTTGCCTCCAGAAGTTGTAGATGCTCCATCACTGAAGGTTTTTAAGAGGAGACTAGACAGCTACCTGTCTGAAATGGTATAGGGTCTCTTGTTTGAGCAGGGAGTTGGACCTTCCAGCTCTATTCTGATTGATTGATTGATTGATTGATTGATTGATTGATTGACTAGATTTCTATATCCCTTGGATATCGAAGAGTCACCTTACGGGGGAGATAAGTGACATAAAAGATTAATAAGATAAAATATAGTTAGCATTTTGAACTGATAGAAAAGAGTTGTGTTTTCTAAATCAAAATTGATTGGAAAGAGTCACAAACCTTCATCATATTTACCAGAAAATTTATATTTATTTTTAATATTAGTCTTATAAGTCTATTTCAAAATTTAGCTTTTCTCTTTTCCTCACTCCAAGCCAAAGTTTCATTAAGTTTTGTTATAGTTACATTTGACATTTCAAGGTAAAAGGGAATGGTTAAAAATGGTTACATTTATGGTTACATTACATTAATGGTAACCATTTGTAATGGTTACAAATGTAACCAAACAATGATATTTGTTCAAAAAAAATCATGGAGGAAACTCTTAGTACTTTGAACCCGAACTGCTTCTTCTTTATCACTTAACAATCATCCCTCTCAGAGCACTTTTCAAAGAATAATTTTATTTATTAACAAATTCCCTGTAGAGGAAATGACACATTTTCATGATATCAGTCAATTATCTTTGACACATGCTTATCAAGATTGATCAATCATTGCTGATATGTCTGCTAAGCTATTTTTTCAACTAAAAAAAAACTGACAAGAGAATTAACACACCCAATTGCCCAGATTGATTATCAAATTGAGTATCAATACCAGTAGTCTTTGCTAATGTCAATCACTCACTTCACAATGATCTAAGCTAATTACATACCACTTTATATCTGAGAATGGAAAATATGAGATTGTCATATTAAATCCATTGATAAATCATAAATCCAAGGCTTAAATTAAATGACTTGAAATTCTATTAAACTGTATGTACTGTCCATCAAAACAAAAAGTTCACAATATTTATATTTTCAAAAATAAAAAAATAAGACATTTTAAAATCCACTTTAAAATACCAATGTGTGGGTCTGACATTATGTTTAATGCATTTACAACAAAACATTTTCCTAATTAGATCGTTTTTCATATTCTATATCTACAGCATAGTTTAAATTTTCTAAATTGCAGCATCCTGTACTCCATCTCCAAGAAGGCTCTCTGAAGTCTGATAACCTTGTTAAGTTGTACTAGCTATGAGATAGAGGTAATCTTTGTAACGGTAGCAGAAGTAATCTTCACAAGCTGGTCTAGTCATAATACTAACTCATCACTTCCACAAAATCTGTCTGTGATTTCTATGTTTCCATACTACAGTTAAGCTAAGTTATTTATCATTCTTAGAGAAATTGTGCATTCAAGTTAAATCAACTGTTCAGGATGGAGTCATTTTAGTACAGTATATATTAACCTTGATATTCAGTCAAGTTCAAATACGTTATTCAGACTAGATTGATTTCAGACAGCAGCACACTAAGAAGCACCGGTCACAATAGCAAAGCTCTATAATAAATGTACATTAAAATGATGTTTTTATAAATAGAAACATTCATATAAAATTCCAAATGCCATGATATGATAACACCCGCCTCCAAAAAAATTATCCTCAGAGAGTAGCCTGCAACTTTTATCAAGGGTGTAATTAGACAGGAAAAAATGGGTTGAGTTTGACATCATGAGTCAGAGTGTTTAACTGAAATAAGGAAGTAACTTAATTCAGAGTAGGCTTCTCAAGATGCTGCAATGATTTCAAGTTGCACTTGAAATTGTATTTATTTTAAATTATATTATTGATTGGACAGTAGGAGGAATGCTGGGATGGGAATTATTAATGAGTTGAAAGTTTAGAAATCTTTAGGTTATTTTTCTGCAATAGATAGGAATGAAATTGGTATTGATGTAACTTTCACAGACGAAAGAATTTAAGTGTTTGAATTGTGATAGATGGTATATACTTGTATAGCAAAAAAGAACTGTATTTGTTACAAGGTAAAATTAGACGGAAATGTCTGAACTGGAAAAGTCTTACCATATGCAATGTTTTTAATTGTATTATTAATAAAAAACTTTTTAAATAAAAAAAAGAAATTGTATTTATTCTCAGATCAAAACTCATTTTTAAGTGGCAAATAAATATTATATATGGCAACTTAAATATAGACTAAATCATCTGTATCCATTTACCAATCAATATTTTGTTAAACATGAGTAACAGGTGACGTCAATATTATCACAGGAAGAAAAAAAAATCAACCATACTTTATTAAGTCACTTCGAGGTGCTATGAAGTTAACTTAAGAAATTTAGGATTGATGAGAGAAGAACTATAACCATTTTGTTGAATAAACTATTCATCTCAATAGATTTTTTCCTTTTGTTGTTGCAAAGTGTTTCCAAATGTATTCCAAGTGGTTCATAGGTGAAAGTGGTTCATATGCTCTCTTTTTAATACATACGCAAGCATCATTTTTTTTTTCTTTTGCTAATACTCTAAAATTTCTTATTTGAAACATTTTTGCTATTTCCCAAGTGGACAATTAAATATTGAACATGGTCAGATTATCCTAATATTTTGATAGGAGGAAATCTTGATTGTTATCTACAAGTAAACTTGATTTAATATTCATACTGACACTTTCAATATTATATGTGGCAAATATAGGAAATAATCAAGAAAATACCATCAAGAGCTTTAGATAACTGCATTTAATATGTTCAAGGATATTTTCATTATCTTTTAAGTTGTACACATATTATGGTAGGAAATTCTGTAAGTACCAGAAGTAGAAAATATAGATCTAACAATCATATAAGGTAATCTTTTTCAGGAATCACATTAGAATCAACAGTTGTATGTTCCAAGTGCTACTGAAGATTTTTCTTAAAAACATATGTTTGTTTTAATTATATATACATTAAAGCTGTCACCTAAAATTCTGGTTTTCGTCAGGGAAAAAAAATCAGAAAAACAGGTTTTCACTATATCAGATGGGTGTCACATTCTATTAAGTTTTAGGCCTCTTTTCAGTGTCCAATAATAAGTATACCTCCTTTTACAAATCACTAAACAAGAAAGCATGGAGCAACAAACTAACTTGCATAATGTTAAAACCCAGACCATAAGGACTGGAGACAATTTACATTCTCAAGCTTTATTTGGTAACTTTATTCTTAGGCTAATCTTCAACTTGATGTCTCCAAATATTTTGAACTGGCTATCACTGCTCGCCAGTTTGTCAAGAAGAAATCATTTACTACAAATGCACAAGACAGTCATGGGATCTCAATATTTGATGTCAATCCTCCTTTGCTAAACCTTTGGATCACCCATTCGGTTTTAAGAAATAGATTTCTCAGATTGCTCATTACACCAGCCAATATTTAGTAAATCATTACATCATAAACAAAACCACTGTCTTTATGGGACATTTCTCACTTAATAGCACCTTTTTCGGAGAGTTATTTAATTTTTAAATATAACTTTTAAATATAATTTTATTGAAAGTTTTAAAACAAGGAAGGTTAATTAATGTTAATATTAATACAGAAATAGTGTAAAATAGAGTAAGAAGGAAAAAATAAAAATAAATAAAAGAGAAAGTTAAAGAGCAAAATGAAAAAAAGTAGAAAAACAGAAAAGAAAGATAAGTGGCTTCCAATCGTTTCAGCAATTCAAAAAGTAGAATACTAGATTTACATCATGACTGTTTCTATAACCTACCCTATATACTTCATCAAAACCAATATATCACAGGTTGATTTTTTTTCGGTTCTTTGCAAAAAGTCTATAAGGGTTTTCCAGTCAGCAATAAACCTAAGTTGTCTAAAATGTTATTCAATATTTAAAAAGCACTATTCTAAACAAATACTGTCGTTAACTTTCTTTGGTTAACTTAGAATAATAGATGACTTTATAAGATTACAGGAACAACCACCAAAATTCTATTATATTCTTAAAATCTGCAGTGTGATCTGGACAGTCCTGGCTGATACTTTCTGCTTTGTTATCAATTAGCTCTTAGAAAGGAAAGATAGCACAGAAATCACTTACTTGAACCTGCCTTGGCAATGCTGGCACTGATCCCCCACCCAGCCTTGATCACAGAGGCAGCTGGAATTGACACATCGACCAGAAAAGCACGAGGTTCTTTCACAAGTCTTAGAGTGGGAAACTTGGGCATACAGCACCAGGTAGAGGATCCCGTAAAAGAGGAGCCAGTTATTTATATCCATGAAGGTAGCAAAGCAGCAGGAGGAAGAAGAAAAAGGTCTCCAGGTTCCCAGGATTACAGGAGGGCCTTCTATTCTGCGCAGGACTTTCCCCAACAGATCCAGCATCTTTGCCCACAAAGCACATCCGCAACCGGCCTGCCTGACAAACCGCCACAGGGGAGCAAGGAAGAGGCTGAATTAATCCAGTTTCTCGGGCAGGTTTAAGCAGGAGGAAAGCCGCCCCACGCACATCACTCAAAAGAAGGCGCTTTTAAACAGGTTGAAGAAACGGGGCGCAGATAAGGAAGGGGCTGGCTGGGGACTCCCGAATGTAGTTACAACAGGAAACCGAGAAGCTTCCTCTCCCCCAACGCTTCTCACACAGCAGCCTCCGCCGGGTTCTTCGGGTACAACGCTGGCGACCCGCTTCCCGCCTCCTCTTCCTCGTCGTCCTTGGGGCTCATTGCCCCCCACTTTCCATGAGCAGAGGCTTCTCTCCTGCCCTCGCCGCTTCTTCTCACCACATGGCCCCGCTTCCCGTGTCCGGCTCTCCCCGCGGCCGCAATAATAATAAAAATAATAAAATAGCCCCTCTCCTCCGCCTCCTGTAGTCCCGACTCTTGCAGCAGCAGCAGCAGCAACGGGAGAGCAGCGGAGGGCGGTCGGGGGGGATGCTGTGGCTCCTTCGAGGCAAGGAGAGCGCCGTTCCTTAGCGTCCTCCCAGCATCCCAGAGCAGCGGGCCGGAGGCCGGGAGGGAAGCGGAGGCTCCGGTGTTTTTTGCTTTTTGTTTTAATCCCGCCTTGCAAGCGGGGGTGTGGGAAGGAAGGGCGAGAGTTAAAAGCCTCCGTCTGTCCCAGCTGACACTTTGAAAGCAGCCATTTTTAAAAGGCTAATTGTAAGCTGCTTTCGGAGGCTGGCTGGGGCCGAATCCCTCCTCTTCCTCCTCCTCCTTTTCACCCCCACCTCCTCCTCCTCCTCCTCTCCCGCTCCGCCGGTCTGATTAGACCCGTCCCTTTCTTTTGGACTACCAGGCAGGCCCCGCCTCAGCCGGGGAGAAGACTGGAATAGACTCCGCTTCGGGAGCCCCGTTGCTGGAGCAACTGGCCCGGAAAGGATGGAAAGCCACTAAGGGTCCCTTTCCATTTCTGAGCCCCAGCCGAAAGTGAAGGGAGGCGGGAGGCTTATCTCCCGCCCCCGGGAAAGTTCGTGCCTCGGTTTCTGGCGGCCTCAAAATCGAAAGGAAAGTCTCTCTGTCTCTTTCTCTCTCTCTCTCTTCCGTCTTTGGAATTGCAACGCTCCAGCCTCTCCGCCGCCTTTGCAGGGGAGCTCTAGAAAGAAACTATTACACAAAGAAGAGCTGAGCATGTGCGGCAGCCGAGGAGCCCCCCCTTTAAAGGCGCTGCGCCCGTCTTCGTTGCATCACTTGGAGTGTGACCCGCCGGGAGGGAGAAGCGCGGGATCCACTGGGGGAAGGAGGCGAGCGAGGGAGCGCGCGCGCGCAGCGGGGCCGAGGTTTGTTCTCTTTTTTCCGCAGGAGGCGATGCGACTTCCTTGAACTTCATGTGCAAAACCAAACCAAACAAACAACCAAGCAAACAAAAGCCGAGAGTGGAAGCCATTTCCAGAGGTGCTTTGTTAAACGCCGTGGCTCATTGCGGCAAAATTTTCAGCGGAAGGGAAGCGATAGACAATCAACCTTGTTCCGACGACTTGTGTTTGTTTTTCCTATAGCTACGACTTTTTTCCCCTCTAGTCACGCCTCTGTTGCACTTTATGCAGGTAGTCCTCGATCTTACGACCACAACAGCCCAATATTTCTGTTGCCAAGGGAGGCGTTTGTTAAGGGAATGGTGCCCCGTTTTACGACCTTTCTCGCATCAGTTGTTAAATGAATCACTGCAGTTCTTAAATTAGTTACCCAGTTGTTAAGTGAATCTGGCTTGCCCATTGACACTGCTTGTCGAAAGGTCGCAGAAGGCTTAGTTTAGTTTACTTTATTGTTATTGCACCTCCTACAACAAAATTAAATGACATCTTCAGTATACATCATAAGAAAACTGTAAAAAAATAAAACAAAAACACACATCTTTCACATTCTATACAATTGAATTGAAAACTGATACTGCATTAATTTATTTATTTATTGGTTCAATTTTATATGCTGCCCTTCTCCAGAGACTCAGGGCAGCTTACAATGCATTAAGCAATAGCCTTCATACTTTTGTATATACCTGCTTAGTAGGGCTTTCGGGCCCGCTCAAGCGGTGTTCTTTTTACACAAAGTCAGCTTATTGTCCCCACAATCCGGGTCCTCATTTTACCTACCTCAAAAGGATGGAAGGCTGAGTCAACCTTGAGGCTGGTGAGATTTGAACTTGCAGTAATTGCAGGCAGCTGGCTTTACTTTAACAGTACTTTAGCCACTGCGCCACCAAGGCTCCTAATGTAATTAATATTACACTATACAGTAGAATTCAATATAGTTACTGCTCTGGGCTGGAAGCTGTTTTTCAGCCTATTTGTCCTTGTTTTTATTGTCCTGTACCATCTACCAGATGGTAATACCGTATTTCTTGTACTATAAGACGTACTTTTCCTCTCCAAAAAAGTGGGTGGACATGTCTGTGCATCTTATAAAGCGAATATTGCAACGGAGGGGAGGAGAGGGGTTGGTATAAATGTTGCTGCATGTCACCACTGCCACCATTCGCTGTCGCCGGGGTACACTGGAGTCTTCACTGCTAAGCAGCTGATTGGCAGTTGGATCAGTCTCCCAGAATACCACCGATCAGCTGTTCTAAGCGCGGGGATCGCCGCTGCCAATTGCAGATTGCCACCGCCGCCTAGAACAACTGATTGGCGGTATTCCAGGAGGCCGATCCAACCGCCAATCAGCTGCTTGGCAGTGAAGGGTCCAGCGTTCTTCGACAGCAGCTCAACTCAGTTGACTGGTGGTGAGTGCAATGGAGCAGAGCCCTGACGAGCCACATGCTGGGGCTGCAATAACTTGCTGAACCTGACCAGGCTGTTTGCTGTTTGCTGCAAGGATGCTAGTCAGATGAATACTGGATAGATGCTGGAAGCAGAGGCAGATTTTTTTTTCTTGTTTTTCTCCTCTAAAGCTAATGTGTGTCTTATGGTCCGGTGCATATTATAGTGCAAAAAATATGGTAGTTCAAAAAAAGGTGCCCAAAATGAGAGAGGTCTTTAAGAATGTTTTTAACTTTCTCAAGGCAGCAGGAGCTATAAAGCTCTTCCAAGGAGGGGAGAGGGCAACCAATGATCCTCTGGCCAATGATGTTAACACATGAACACATGACCACGGGATATTGCAATCATCCTACATATGAGTCAGTTGCCAAGCACCCAAATCTTGATCACATGACCATGGGGCTGTTGCAACGGTTGTAAGTGTGAAAAAGGTCATAACTCACTTTTTTCAGTACTATTGTAACTTTAAACGGTCACTAAGTGCAGGTAGTCCTTGATTTACAACCACTCTTTTAATGACTGTTCAAAGTTATGACTACACTTACTACTGTTGTAACATCCCTGTGGTCATGTGACCAAAATTCTGCTGTTGGGCAACCAGCCTGTATTTATGAGGGTTCTGAGATCATGTGATCACCTTTTACAACCTTCTGACAAGGTCAATGGGAAAGCCAGATTGCTTTTGCAACCATGTTAACTAACTTAACTGCAGTGATTCACTTCACTGGCATGAAAGGTTGTAAAATGGAGCAAAACTCAATAACTGTCTTGATTAGCAATGGAAATTTTGGACTCATTTCTGGTCATAGGCCAAGAGCTACCTGGGTAAGTATTTGCAACAAATGGAGTTTAGTGTTCCATTATATCACCTCCATTTCGTTGCTTTTCATGCTTCAGTAGGGTTCAGTTTTGTGCTATTTCTAATAATGCTGAACAAAAAAATCATCCACCCTAAAATCATACATAAAGTTATACTAATTTTGCTTCTAATCTATTAAACCAGAAGATGTGTTTTCTTCATATCTTTCTGAGCTAAGAAATGCTGTTGGTTAGTGCCAAATGGTAGTAGTAGATTAGATTGTCAAACTGCTGGCACAAGGGCCGGATGCGTCACGCATAGGCCATGCCTACTCTAGCTCCGTGAATGGGAAAAACATCACATGATAGCAACGTGACATGGTGAGTTTGACACCCATGTAGTAGACAGTGTGTATAAAACTTTTGTGATTAAGTTAGAGAGATTTCAAACATGTTAAGATTTGCTCCATATGCATAACTATATTCAGAAATTGCTTGTTAAAATCAGCTTTACATTTTTTCTTTTCCTGCCTCTTACACTTAGTCAGACCATAAAATAAGATGCAAAAATTGCTGAATATTGGAAAAAAAGTTATGCTGAACCCCTAGTGGCAGCATTTCCTTTCTAATGAAACAACTGATGGCCTTCCATAGATTTTTTTTCTCCTGTTAATGTTATGCTGCAGTGCCCATCTCATATTGAGGTGGGTTTTTTTACAAGTATGGCTATATAATATAGAGATGAAATTTAAATGAACCTGCAAATGGAAAACTTCTGCTACTCTCTCTGAAAGCTAAAATAGAATATCAATTTGATAGAAAAGGTCCTAAAATTGAGATAAAAAGTGATGCTTATGATGTAGAATCTCTATCAGAATTATGCAGTTATCCTTTGTCATTTTATTAGGGAATAAACTTCACAGAATATACTGTACACTCCATTTCCCCAATATCAACTTAAAGTAAGTAAACCCTCATTATATCAGCATATAACAATGGTATAAAATTGAATATTCACATTACAAATTCCTTTCATGTTTCTGTTGCAGCTATCTGCCAAATAGTTGTTCAGGTTTTCATGTCTCATAAGCATTCCAACTATATTTTCTTCCGGTGTTGATGCAATCCCCTTCAACACAACACAAAAAGCATTCTGCAACAAACCATCCAAAACTTGAGGCAGTAATGCATAAATGAAAGAGAATCTGACATTATTAAGCAATTCTGCAAGTTCCTCTTGGCTTGCCTGAACTGCTTTGCCTATCCTTTTGTCAGAATCCATCTGGAACATCTTGTAAGTTAAAAACAATGTTCAATGAAGAAATGCATTGGAAGATAGCTCCTAATCAAAACTACTTGTCTCCAAAAAATCTTAAATTAGTGGCACCATACAGATTCCAATTTGATCACAGCAGAGGGAAAAAACACCTCAGAAGAGTAAAAGCAACCAATATTTTATTGAGCTAGTTAATTGTTTAAAATTGAAATTGAACTGCTGCTGAAATAGATACCTTTTTCCTTTTTGGCATATTAGAATGTAGTTTTGAACAAAGTTCTCCTTGTTTTAAGTGTCTAATTGAAGCTTCAGTTTTCTCTCTTGATGGCGAATCTTCCAGTACAATGTACAAAATAATGGGAAATATTCCCAATTGCATATCAATTCCACATTAGTGAATTTATATTTCTTTGGTAAAGTGACCTTTCAATTCAACATAGGAAAGCCACAATCTGGAAGAATATCCCAAAAGATCTTGGAAATAAATAATGCCAGAGTAGTATTAATGGCTTTAACCCCACTATAAGTTTACAGATTTAGGCACCTGCCTAAACAAAATCCATATTCAATGATATATGTATTGTTCAGTTCTCAACAATTAGTAGAAATGTTAGGAAATTACATTTTTCTTTCAATAATAATAATAATAGCAGCCTTCTAGAGACAGAAAAAATATATGCGAAATATAGATAATAAAGCATATTGACTAATATCATCATCATGCCCGTCCATCTGTATTTAGTCTACTCAGAATTCCTAGCTAGTGTAGACTCTGACCACCCTGGCTGGAAATATTAGAGGTGCGTGCCTACAACACTTCAGATTAAATATGTCTATTTTAAGAAAAGTTTGAATCTTCTGGTAGATTGGTTGTAGTTCAAAAGGGCATCTGGGATTAATTTTTTCTACATAATTCTACCAATTTATGATCAATTCTACTAGTAAGTGTTTCCTTATATCATACTTAAGCATCACTTGCTTTTCTGTGAAATCCAAAAAAAAAAAAAAAAAAACATTGAATATAAACAAAGGTTTGTTTTATTTATTTTGCTGTGCAAAGTGGAATGCCATTGCCCATAAAGAAGCTTCTGTTATTTATTCATTCTGAATTACTGCTTGTACCAGGTTACACCCATACAATAAATGAACAGAGTTGTAGTTGTAATTAAGCTTAAATAACAAGAGTATTTATATTTTCTTTTTATTATATGTACTTCCTTTCTCATTTTATTTTCCTTGGTATGCCTATATATGTATAATACACTGTGAGACTGAAATATATGCACATACAATTAGGCAAACAAAGAAGGATTGTGTTTCTTTTACTGCTAA